TAACACCACTATTATAAGAACTCAAGAAAAGGTTTAAACACAGAAGAAAACATTCCTTTATGATTATGAGGGTGGCGAGGGAGGAAGAGGGGTATTCACTAACTAGATAGTAGAAAAGAATTATCTTAGGTGAAGAGAAGGACAACCCACACTACAGGGAAAGTCAGCATAACTGGACTAAACCAAAGCTAAGAAGTCTCCTGAATACAACCAAACACTTCAAGGGACAGAGCCCCAGGGCAGGCATCTGGTGACCATTGTTTCAGGGGACATCTAGGTCATGTGGCATAACAAAGTTTATTAAGAAAATGTTCTGCATCCTACTTTGATGAGTGACGTCTGGGGTCTTAAAAGCTAGTGAGCAGCCATCTAAGATGCATCAATTGGTCCCAACCCACCTGGAGCAAAGGAGAATGAAGAACACCATAGACACAAGGTAAGTATTAGCCCAAGAGACACAAAGGGCCATAGAAACCAGAGACTTCAGCAGCCTGAGACCAGAAGAACCAGATGGTGCCCGGCTACCACCAATGACTGCCCTGACAGTGAACACAACAGAGAACCCTTGACGGAGCAGGAGAAAAGTAGGGTGCAGAACTCAAATTCCAGCAAAAAGACCAGACTTAATGGTTTGATTGAGACTGGAGGGACCCTGGAAGACATGGCCCCCAGCCTCTCTGTTAGTCCAAAACTAAAACCATTCCCGAGGCCAACTCTTCGGACAGAGATTAGACTGGACTATGGGACATGGAGTGATGCTCGTGAAGAGTGTGCTTCTAAGCTCAAGTAGATGCGTGGGACTAAATGCACAGCTCCTGTCCAGAGAGAAGATGAGGAGTCAGAGAGGGTCAGGAGCTGGTTGAGTGGACACTGGAAATCCAGGGTGTAAAGGAGGAGTGTGCTGTCACAGTATAGGGAGAGCAACTAGGGTCACATAACAACATATGTATAAATTTTTGCATGAGAGACTAGCTTGAACTGCAAACTTTCACTTAAAGCACATTTAAAAAAAAAAAAAAAACCTTATGGATAACAACAAAACCAGATTACCCTGACATCTATCTTTATGTATGAGAGGTGACCTACTACTCAGACATAGAACTTCAGTGCTATTCCTCTGAGGCTGGTTAGCACTGGTGGTTAGAAAACAGTGCTAAAAACTCAACATCATGCATTAGATGCAGGGAAAATTAATTTTGCTTTGGCGACTATATTCTTGACAAAGTATATCTTCATGTCAAACAGCCATTGCACAAATATGTGTGCATTACAAGGAGAACTAAAGAACAATCAACACACAAAAAAAGACAACTAGAAAATATTAATGTGCCACTCTCAAGTTTAAAAACTCCCTCTATCTTCCAAATAAAAGCTAACATCCTCAGCTAGCCTGTAAGAGTATACATTAGTACAATCCTTTGGAAAACAATCTGGCATTACTAAGAAAAGTTGCACATGCATATACCCTACCCAACCAACCCAACTCACTGCCATTAAATCGATTCCAATTCAGCAACCCTATAGGACAGAACAGAACTGCCCCATAGGGTTTCCAAGGCTATAATCTTTCCAGAAGCAGACTGTCGTATCTTTCTCCCACAGAGCAGCTGGTGGGTTCAAACCACTGACCTTTCAGTTAGCAGCCAAGTGCCTAACCACTGCGCCATCAGGGCTCCTTGCGTATATCCTAGGGCATAGCAACTCCACTCCTAGGTATATATACTACAGCACAGCTTCCCAAAACAGCGCTGGGAAAGTTTACAGGTGTGTTAAAATATTGATTCCCCTCAGCCCCCAGGGTGGCCAAATACAGTAAAAACAGTCTTCTCCATTTAGTGTACTGTGCCAAATACTATCATTTTTTAAATATGTTATGCTTGAACTCTTGCAAATGATTTCCAGAAGATGAGATCATAACAGCAAAAAATGGAAACAATCCATATGGCCATCAACAGTAGAAAAGATACATCAATTGCAGTATATATTTATAAAAAGTAAAAATGAGTAATAGAGTAATTTCAAAAATATAATTTTGAGCAAATAAAGCAAGTCACAGAAGAATACACACATATGTCTCATTTATATAAGTTCAAAAACTGGCAAAACCAAACCGTTTTCTAGGTATACAGACATAGGTGCCAAAACCATAAAGAAAAGCAATGGAATGATTAACAGAAAATTCATGAAAGTGGTTACCTGGGGATGCTAACAGGGATTTCCAAAAGCAGTATTTCCCAACCATTTTCAACTCAGAGTACACACAGAAGATAATACTATTTGCAATGCACACCAAGGTCAGAGGAGAAGGCTGCTCAAAGTCAGAGGAGCCCAGCCAAAGGGGTCTCCCAACCCCGGGGTCCCACAGCCACAGCGATGGCAGAGAGGATCAAGATTTGGGGACTCCAGTTAGGAACTCTGTTCCACAATACTGGTAATGTTCCATCTCTCAAGCTGGGTGGTGGGTACACAGTAATTTCATTATTTAAACTGTACACATTTCATATGCTCTCTTGAATGTATGAACTAGTTCTAATTAAAAAAAATTAAAATCAAGATCTTAGTCAAAGTTTCCCACAATCTAGCCTGATCCCGATCAAGTCTGATCTTACTACTAATCCAGAAAGCCAGAACCTCCCTTTCCCACAAAACAGCATGCTCTTCTCCCCTCTAAATTCCAGCTCATATGATTGCACCTAGAATGCATTTCTTCCTCTTCTCCACCTATCCATCTCCTAATCACCCTTTAGGTTCAAGCTCAAGACCCACCTCCAGCTAAAAGGTCTTCTCAGACAAAACCCAGTTTCCACAAATCTCTTTGTTGATTTGAATATTTCTCACTGCCTGTACCCATTTCTGTACTGCTTTAAATTGTTACTTGACTTTACAGGTGCTTCCATACTAGTTAGCAGAAAGAGTACTGGATTTGGAACCAGAAAATGTGGATTCAAATCCCCCCCAGCTACAAGACTTCTAACCAGTTTCTATCACCACTCTGAGCTTAAGTCTTTTCATCTATGGAATACTTTAGCTCTGGAAGGACCAAGTTGACATAACACATGTGAATTAAATACTACTGGAGACCCAAAGTCCATGCTCAGCAAATATTTATAATTTTGAATGGTTGGTGAATTTCTAACCTAACCTATAGGGCCGAAGAATCCAGAAACTACTTCATACACAATAAGGGAGGAAACGGGATGTTCCATATAAGTGAATTTCTAGATAACAGAAGATTATCTCTTTAAGTGTCATACTTTTTGTTTAACCATTTTTGACGGAAATCTTTATAAATTCCCTTCTTAGACATAAAATGCGTATCTTTTAACATTTCAATAATGACGTAGGGTCAGTATTATGAATATCAATTATTTTATTGCAATATAATACAGTAACTCACTAAGCTGATACAGAGCTAGTTATTGTGGTTTTCAGATTATGCCTGCTTCAGTATTTTTTTTCTTTCCATCTCTACAATCAAACTATTAACACCTATCTCTGATAACTCCATCCATTGTATTTGCTACTTTTAATTTACTATCTCATAAGAAACCAGGTAACAGTAAACAGATTCCTTTTACTATATTAAGCTTCGGATGCTAAGGGGCCCTTTGTGTACACATATATATGTGTGTGTGTGTGTGCCCGGCTTCTTTCACTGAGCACATAATGTTGTGTTTTTGTTTTTATTGTTGTAAGGATACATATAACACAATATTTGCCAATTCAATGTTTTTCGCGTGTACAAATTAGTGATATCAACTACATTAATTGTGTCATGCAACCATCAAGGGACCTTTTTTTTTTATTGTACTTCAGGTGAAGGCTTACAGAACAAATAGTTTCTCATGAAACAGTAGTACACGTGTTGTTTTATGACATTGGTTAACAACCCCACAACATAACAACCCTCTAAATTCTCAACCTTTTTTTTTGGTGAAAATACACATAGTCAAAGATACACCATTTCAAAAATTTCTACATGTACAGTTCAGTGACATTAACTATGCTCTTCCAATTGTGCTGTTATTCTCACTTAAGATGAAGGCTTACAGAACAAAATAGTTTCTCATTTAACAGTTACTACACATGTTGCCCTATGACAATGGTTAACAATCTCACAACACATCAACAATATCCTTACTCAACCCTGGGTTCTCTATCACCAGCTTCCTTGTCCCCTTCTGCCTTCTGGCCCTTGTCACTGGACTCCTGTACCTCGTTCGTCTCATTTGGTTTTACGGGGCTGTCCACTCCCAGGCTGAACAGTGAACCTCGGCGGTAACTTCACCACTGAGCTAAAAGGGTGTCTGGGGGCCATACTCTCGAGGTTTCTCCAGTCTCCTTTAGGCCAAGGGACCCTTTTTAAAGGCTGACTAGTTGGCAGCTATGTTCTAGGTCTCTGAGGTGACTGGATAAATGTATCATTTGTAGGTCATCTCATACTCACCCAGTCCTATGCATACGTTCTCAAAACCTCCTGAGGAATTCAAACTGCAAGCTCTACTGATGACCCACTGGTGCGGATCAATACTACCACCTTCACATACGGATAATAATAATTCTTATCACCCATGGAACACATCTATGCCAGGCACTAAAAGAAATAAAGGAAACTACCCTGGGAACTGTTCTTAAGCAGTAAAACTTACCTGCAACCAGACTGAACAGATTTCCAGATTCAGCTTTACCAGAAAAGATCTTTACGTAACTCTGGTAACAGAAGCAACTGGGTGACTGGTGCAGTTGTCTGTGCTTTAATAAAAAGAATGGTTAATACAGCTCCATAAAATGGAGATTATCTGAAGAGTAGTTTGAGACTGACAATGGAACTTCTGGAAAAACCTGAAAATCTGGTCAATGAACAAGCACTCTTAAGTAGTTTTGTGCAAGCTATAAAGTCATGTTTCTTTCCCACTTACTATTAACTCCAGTTTATAAAGGTTGGTGCATAAAGAATGAATAGCAGAATAGTAAGTATATAAGATGTTCAAGAAGCATACCTCACTGAACTGCTGGAACAAAACAGATGGCAAAAAATCCTGAGGGTGTAAGTCAACAGGAGGCCCTGTCCAGTTACTCTGAACAAAAAGTTGCAAACTGCTCACACCAAGTAGGAATATCAGCTGCTGTCTGCGTAAAAGAATGGTTAAAGAAATGAATATGACCAATTATCACGGTATAACCTCAAATATACTATTTCATTTCAGTTTTATTAAAGAAAATATAAGACAAAAACTATTATTTGTTGAGACAATCCTAGAGTATCACCAAAAAAAAATTTCTGAAACCTGAACAACTTAGATCTACACTACACAATATGGTAACCATGAGCCATATACGGCTCTTTAAATCTATACTACTTAAAATTAAAGAATATTAAAAATTCAGTCTTTCAGTTATACTGTCCACATTTCAAGTACTCAATAGACACACATGGCTAGTGGCTACTATACTGGACAGTGTATATACAGAACACTTCCACCATCCCAGAAAGTTCTCTTTGACAGCACTGGGTTAGGTCCTAATCAGGCACCTGTAACTTTTCTTACTTTCTATTTAACAGCCCTGACAGTGTAAGAATATGTATAAAAAATGATCTTATACAAAAGAAAACAATAAAAAGTTACTACTACCATTTTCCTTTTCTTGTTAAACCAACTGCTAGAACAAAAAGACCCCTAGAAATTTTAACTGAATGTGCTTTGATTTAAGACAGGGTGGGCAAACTTCTTCTGTAAATGGACAGATATTAAATATTTTAGGAGTTGCAGATCACATACTGTCTATCACATATGCTTCTGTTTTTTGGGGTTTTTTCAACCCTTTAAAAACACAGAAACCATTCTTAGCCACTCTGCACAGGCCATAACTTGTCAAACTCTAGTTTAAGACATAAATACTGGAGTTTCATTCTGAAGAGAAAGTAACAGTAGTCACCATTTCTCTTTTAACCCTCACCTCCAAAGAGATCTTTAGGAAAAAATACCAAACTCACAAGCCTATGGGAGCTGGAAAGTAAAGCTGTGGATGCAGTGCAACCGAGAACAGAGGCAAAGAGTGAGCAGCACTAGAGAACACAGGTAACAAAAGAACCTATTTGTAGTTAGAAACTTGGGGAAAACAGGTATGCAGCAAGATCTTAAAGCCTTAGTATAAGTGTTCTAACTAAAAAACAAATCCTTAAGGTGAATTGAGAACATAGTTCAATTTTCAAATACTTCAAAATGAGCATGCTGGAACTCTGATCTACCAGCGAATAATGCATCTGTGGGTGTATGTGTATGTTTTAATGTGTAACCACAAGGCTAACTGCTATGAGAGTGCACATATATCAGAGAGCAACATAAGAATCAGGAATAACATTGCAGGAATGTAAACTAGCAGTAAACTAGTAAAATGAAAAAAGGAATGATGTTAATTTTTTTAATAGAAAAGCCTATAGTAACATTCTGGTATCTCTGAGTGGTGCGAAGAATTAACAACTCGGCTGCTAACTGAAAGGTTGGAAGCTGGAGCCCATCCAGAGGCACTCTGGAAGAATGGCTGGGTGATTTACTTCTGAAAAACTCAACCACTGAAAACCCTGTGGAGTGCTGTTCTGCTCTGACACATATGGGGTCGCCATGAGTCGGAGTTGACTTAACAGCAACTGGTAACTGTTATACTAACATTTTATTGTGCACTCCTTAAGGATATGGGTGTGTCTTATTCACTATTCATTTTACAGCCTCAACACCTAATACAGTGGTTGGTTTATTTGTTAAAGGACTAAATGAAGCCATTCCCTAGAAATGGTAAAACAAAATTGCAATTCATTTGAAAGATACTTAAAACTTGACATGGATACAAGACATAGTGGAGGAAAGAAAGGAAAATTTACAACAGTCAAATATAAGGCACTAAAAGATGGGTTTCACTGCTGTGTAAGTACTCACTATACTTAACACTATAAAATTACATACATTACATAAAACTCATTGTTGTCGAGTCGATTCCAACTCATAGTGACCCTACAGGGCAGAGCAGAACTGCCCCATACGGTTTCCAAGGCTGTATATACGGAAGCAGACTGCCACATCTTTCTCCCATGGAGCGGCTGGTGGGTTTGAACCGTCGATCTTTGGATTAGCAACCCAGCGCTTTAACCACTGTGCCATCAAACTACATAAACCAAGGAATTAATTCTCTAATATCTAGAAAGATAATAATCTAAAACATAACAAAAGTATTTACAAGTACCACTCAGCAACCTAGAAATAACAAAATTGATAATGTATGTTTTCAAGTTAAAAGGAAATGAGGTCTAAATTTTTGCCTGTGGCTAAAACCTACCTATGACACCTAAACATTTGGAGGCTCACTACATTAGCAGTTGTTGTTACATGCTGCCAAGTCGGTTCCAACTCATAGCAACCCTTTGTACAAAAGAACAAAACACTGCCCAGTCCTGTGCCATCCTCACAATCGTTGTTATGTTGCAGCCCCTGTGTTAATCTATCTCATCAAGGGTCTTCCTCTTTTTCGCTGACCCTCTGCTTTACCAAGCATGATGTCCTTCTACAGGGACTGGTTCCTCATGATAACGTGTCCAAAGTATGTGAGACAAAGTCTTGCCTCCTTGCATCTAAGGAGCATTCTGGTGGTACTTCTTCCAAGACAGATTGTTTGTTCTTCTGGCAGTTCATGGTATACTCAATATTCTTCGTCTACACCATAATTCATTGGAATTATTTGAATTATGGTGTTGTATTAGCAGTTACCACTCTCTTATATGCCCAGTCTCAGAGGTGAAATGCTCATATCCTATACCACCTTACTGTTTAATTCTGGAAGTACCTCTGGGCAGGACTTCTTGCACAGATTACTTGGTGTGTCATGAGTGTTGAATAAATGTAAGGCCAGTTTTTCAACAACCACTAAAATCAATGGCATATGCTGTCAAAGCACTATTAAATGCATTCGAAATGTTTTTCTATGCAATTTTCAAAGAAAATACTACCTTTCACTTTTCTCCAAATCTGTTGAATAATCCAGGAATGTTACTATCTGCTTTTCCAGGTAGCTGTCAATCCCTTCTTCAGCAATCGTCATTGCATTAAGGATATTTTGAGTCACTGAATTTAAGAATATGGACTCATAGCTCCCTTCTAGCAGTAATTGTAGGAAAGATCCACTCTCTGTAATAAAAAGAATCAGTCCAATAATCCAAAAGAACATTTTTGTCATACTATAAAGGATAATAACACTATTAGGTAAGTCTACCATTTTAGTATGCAACATATATATATGTGGGTCTGTAAATATATATATGCGTGTATATATATGTATATACACATATATACTTAGAATGCCTGCTGTATATTAATCACAAAGCACTGAGCAAATCCTTATTCTACAAACATTACCTCTTCTAGAATAAGGAGCTCACCCATAATGACCATCAAGGTGGGAGTCAGACCTAGGGATAATGTGCCTTATTGTTAAGCATTATAACCCTTCTAGAAAAGCCACAAAGTTTCCTACTGACAACAGGAAAGTGTCCTTACACAGGTTCTAAGACCTTTCACAATCTGACTCCTCCTACCCACATTATTCTGCCTTATGAAGTCACTCCACGCATGCTGGTTTACTAATTTTCCCCATAATACCCTAGGCACATTCCCACTTGGACACCTTTGCACTTAAGATTTCTCCTGTTTAACTCTTCTACACTTGTCAGTCCTACCCTTTAATCAAAAATCAGCTCTAGTTCGACTACTTCTATGAACTTTTCCAGACTCCACCGTTGCCTTCAGAAACTGCCACCCTCCTAAAGCACCTACTGCACGCACACACACACACACACACACACACACACACACACACACACACAAACACTGACATTCTGTCCTAAATTGCTATTTCTCTTCTGGGTTCAACCTAAATCCCACAAGCTGCGCTTATATCCCAATAGTAAATGTGCCTTTTAACTCTTTCTCTCTCCAGTAAATGTGCACTGCACCCAAGAATTATACCTTTGCTGCTTTGTTTCAATTTTTTTCTGCTCACCATCTGTGTAACTTTGGATAAATTACTTAACCAATCTGTACCTACATGTCTTCATCTGCAAAATGCGGGTTAAAGGCAGTACCTACCTCACATGGCTATTATGAGGATTACAAAAAGTAACTGACATTGCTACTGTTATTACTAAACCTGGGTGGTGAGAAGCTTTGGGTAAACACACTCATGGAGCCTGAGGACCATGCCCACGTCAAGGACGCAACTGGATGGGTTTAACCAAACCCGTTGCGGTGGAGTCAATTCCTGACCCTATAAGACAGAGTTGAACTGCCCCACAGGGTTTCCAAGAAGCGGCTAGTGGATTCCAACTGCCGATCTTTTGATTAGCAGCCGAGCTCTTAACTACTGCGCCACCAGGACTCGGTGGGGAAAAAGAAAAAAACAGGGAGGAACGAGAAACCACTGGGCCACCAGGACTCAACCAGGGGAAAAAGAAAAAAACAGGGAGGAACGAGAACCCAGCCACCGCAACCCCTCCTGCTCACAGCCCCAACGCTGGCCTAAGACCCTGGCAGGTACGCCTCTCTTACCTGACCCCACGATCCCCTCCTGCTTCCATTGCTGTCGCTCAGCTTTAGTGGGGAAGCCCCTCAGAATTGCCAGCTCCGGAGTCCACATCTCCCCAGACATCGCTGTAGCCAAGAAGAGCTCCTACGAGGGTCACACAGGATTCCACAAAAGAAAGTGAAAGGAGTAGGGTGCAAAGACGCCAAGTCTAGAAGCGACAATTACTGTACTAAACACCCACAGGCCTAAAACCCCATGTGCCGAGACCGGCACAAAGCAGCCATGACAGCAGCGCGGGGAACCCTGGGGGAAACACGCCGACTCATCCAACTTCCGCCTGGGAAACTAACCCATATCCTGGCTACTGAGCATGCCCAGAGTGGAGGTCCCGCTTGGGGCGGGTAAGTGGGTGGAGTTGAGTGTGCCTGCAGAGTACCGTCCGCCCCTGGTGCACGTTGCTGGAAGCTGTTTCTTGGAGGCGGGGGCGGGTTTGAAACTAGTTGCCAGTTGAGTTGATTCTAACTCATACTGAACTTTTAGGACAAAGTAGAACTGACACATAGGGTTTCCAAGGAGCGGCTGGTAGATTAGAACTGCCAGCCTTTTGGTTAGCAGCCGAGCTCTTTACCACTGTGCGGGGAGCAGGTTTAGACCAAGCCAAAACTCTTTCCCATGGAGTGGATTCCAACTCAGAGTCACCCTATAGGACAGAGTAGAATGGCCCCATAAGGTTTTCAAGGGTGTAATTCTTTACGGAAGCATTCTGCCACATCTTTTTCCTGTGGAACGGCTGATAGGTTTGAACCCCCGACCTTTCAGTTAGCAGCCCAGAGCTTAACCATTGTGCCATCAGGGCTCCTTCAGAGGGAGCACTGGGCCTAAAACGCAGCTCAAAAGGGAAGTCCTGGCCAATAGCAGTTTACTAGGTGAGTCTGGGGCTGTGATTCTTTTTTTCTTTTTTTTTTCATTCTTTTTATTCTACTTCAGGTGAAGGTTTACAGAACAAATAGTTTCTCATTAAACAGTAGTACACATATTGTTTTATGACATTGGTTAACAACCCCACATGTCAACCCTCTCCCTTCTCAACCTTTTTTTTTTTTTGTGAAAATATACATAGCCAAAGATACACCATTTCAAAAATTTCTACATGCACAGTTCAGTGACATCGACTACGATCTTCCAGTTGTGCTGCTATTCTCACTTTAGATGAAGGTTTACAGAACAAAATAGTTTCTCATTAAACAGTACACATGTTGCTCTATGACAATGGTTAACAACCCCACTACAGGTCAACACTGTCCTTCCTCAGCCTTGGTTTCCCTATCACCAGCTTTCCTGTCTCCTTCTGCCTTCTAGTCCTTATCCCTGGACTGCTGTGCCTCAGTCCAGTTTTGTTTTATGGGGCTGTCCAATCCCCGGCTGAACGGTGAACCTTGGAAGTGACTTCACCACTGAGCTAAAAGGGTGTCTGGGGGCCATACTCTCAGGGTTTCTCCAGTTTCTTTTGAGGCGGGGGCTGTGATTCTTAACCCTTTATGCGTCAGAACCATCTTGACTACCATAATCCTTGTTCTCACAAAATGCATATGCACTCTTATGATCCAACATTTGGGAAACGTTTCAGGGAGTTAGAGATCCCCTCAAGTGGAGTCTTGAGCCCCCAGGTTGAGAACCTCTTCAGTGTAGAATTAAAAGGAACTAAAGTATAAGAAAACTATCTGGTTTTGACGCTGCCTCTATGGAAATCATGAGTGAGGGGAAATCTGGCCTGGCCGGTGTGCAGAGAAGTTTCTGGAGCACACTCCGAACGCTGCAGGAGAGCTCCAAGGTGGAAACAAGAAAATCTGCAGGAGGGCAAACCAGCCACCCTACGTGCTTGCTTGCTGCTGAACACAGAGCTGTTGCCTTATTCGCACCTCCTTTCACCTTCATAACAGCACTCCCATAGGAAAAGCAGGGCTCTGAGCAGGTCGCTGCCACAGCTAGGACTTGGCAGGGCAAGGACTTGTCTCGAGTTTTGCCCCAGTCACTTGACTGCAAAGCCTGCATGTTGTGTAGGCCATTCAAGATGCAAGACAAAGCCGCAGAGCAATACTGATATCACAGGATTTTTGGAGCAATTAACAGTAACAGCTCTCTGAAAGAGCCCAGCAAAGTACCCTGCTCCAAGAAAGAAGCTAAACAATTCTTAATTCCTTTTCTTACTCTGTAACCAGAGAGTTGAGGGAAGAGATACTGCTGGCTCAACGGCTGCCAACAGATGGGAAAGGAAGTAAGACCTGAGCAGTAGGTGAACACAAGTAGATGCTCTAGAAGGCCTTCTCATTGAGAATTCCTTAACAACTGCTTATGCAGGGAATAATATTTGATCATTGTGTCCATTTATTTTTTTAAGCACAAAATTCAGGGCTGCCTAAACTATTTAATAGTTTTTAAGATCAGCAAAGAGACCTGGTGGTGCAGTAACTAAGAGTTAGGCTGCTAACCGAAAGGTCAAACCCACCAGAAACTCTGCAGGAGTAAAGACATGGTGACCTGCTCCTGTAAAAAGATGACAGTCCCTCCCACTAGGATGGCTAAGATTTTTAAAAAATTAAAATAACAAATGTTGGTGAAGATGTGGGGAAAATTGCTGGTGGGAATGCAAAATGGTATGACTGTTATGGAAAACAGTGTGGTGGTTCCTCAGAAAACTAAAAATACTACCATAGTGAGTAGCTTCTGGGGTGTTAAAAGCCTGTGAGCAGCCGTCTAAGATACTCCAGTGGTCTCACCCCTTCGTGAGTAAGGGAGAATGAAGAAAACAAGATACAAGGAAAAGATTAGTCTAAAGGACTAATAGACCACAACTACCACGGCCTTCACCAGATTGAGTCCAGTACAACTAGATGGTGCCTGGCTACTACCACTGACTGCTCTAACCAGGATCACAACAGAGGGTCCTGGACAGAGCTGGAGAAAAATGTAGAACAAAATTCTAACTCACAAAAAAAGACCAGACTTACTGGACTGACAGAGATTGGAGAAATCCCAAGAGAATGGCTCTCAAACACCCTTTTACCCAGTAATGAAGTCACTCCCAAGGTTCACCCTTCAGCCAAAGATTAGACGGCCCCATAAAACAAAACGAGACTAACGGGACACAACAGTCGAAGGACAAGCACTAGGAGGTAGGAGGGGACAGGAAAGCTGGTAATAGGGAACCCAAGATTGAGAAGGGACAGTATTGACATGTTGTGGGGTTGTTAACCATTGTCATAAAACAATATGTGTACTGAGTGTTTAATAAGAAACTATTTGTTCTGTAAAGCTTCATCTAAAGTACAATAAATAAATTGCTACACGTGACTATCAGCTACCATATTGGGAAGCATAGTTCTAACACCTTTATACAGATTAGTTTTTCAGCTGTCTGGCAGGGTAAACATTAATAAAAAACATACCATGTGTCAAAAAAAAAACTAAAAATAGAACTACCATCTTGTTGTTGTCATTGTTAGGTGCCATCAAGTTGGTTCCAACTCATAGCGACACTACATACAACGGAAGGAAATACTGCCTGATCCTGCGCCATCCTCACAATCATTGTTACGTTTGAACCCATTGTTGCAGTCACTGTGTCAATCCATCTTGTCGAGGGTCTTCCTCTTTTTTGCTGATCCCCTGCTTTACCAAGCATGATGTCCTTCTCCGGGGAATGATCCCTTCTGATAACATGTGCAAAGGACTCGAGATGAAGTCTCGCCATCCTCCCTTCCAAGGACAACTTTGGCTATATTTCTTCCAAGACAGACTTATTCTTTCTTCTGAAAGATCATGGTGTATTCAATATTTTTCACCAACACCATAATTCAAAGGCATCGATCCTTCTTCGGTCTTCCTTATTCATTGTCCAGCTTTCACATGTATATGAGGCAACTGAAAGTATCATGACTTGGGTCAGACGCACCTTTGTCCTCAAAGTGACATCTTTGATTTTTGGCACTTTAAAGAGGTCTTTTGCAGCAGATTCATCGAATGCAATATGTCTTTTCGTTCCCTGACTGCTGCTTCCTTGGGCGTTGATTGTGGATCCAAGTAAAATGAAATGCTTGACAACATCAATCTTTTCTCCATTTATCATTATGTTGCTCACTGATCCAGTTGTGAGGATTTTTCTTTATGTTGAAGTGTTGTGATGATTAAGATTCTGTGTCAACTTGGCTGGGCCATCATTCTCAGTGATTATATGTGATCACTCACGTGATGGAATCTGCTGTGAGTAGCCAATCAGTTGAAAGGGAGTTTCCTTGAGGGTGTGGACTACATCCGAATATAAGCAGATGGTCTGGCTTTTTGCTCACTCTAGATCCTGCAGCTACCTCCTGTTATCTGACCTCTGGTTCTTGCGACTTGATCTATCAGCTTATCTACTGATCTTGGTATTCGTCGATCTTCACAGCCTGTGAGCAAGAGCCCTGCTCTCCAACCTGCTTTTCTTGGGTTTGCCAGCCACTTCAGCTACATGAGTTCAGAGAAGCCTGTATTCTGATCCATGGACTTGGGACCTTCCAGCCTCTACAATCATGTGAACCATTTCCTTGATATAAATCTTTCTATATACATAGTTATACACTGTACTTGTTTTGCCTCTCTAGAGAACGCAGCCTGAGACACTTGGTACTGAGAGTGGTTCTAGAGAACCAAAATTGTGAGGATGAGTTTTCTAAATTGGTTCTCAAGTCTGGTTAATCTTCAAGATTTTGATGACTCTGCTTCCAGCAGTAAAGAGGGCACTGCTAATCCATGGCATGAGGTGGCAATACAAATACGAAAAATATCACCACCAGTAGATCAGGCATTGGTGAAAGGCAAGGCTCTTGGTGAATACATGTGTGATATCTTTCTACAATTTTGTTAGAATGAGAAGTATAAGGAAGCTGGTTGATTGGTCCTACTTTCACTAGACAAACTGGTGAAAGAAAGAGATGTGCTCAGGGCTTCAGAGTCAAAGCTCAAGTGCTGCATAAATAACTTCAAGGCTTCCACTTGTGCTTTGAAAGAAAGCCTTATTTCTTGTAGTAACAGAGCTGATATTGCCAAAAACCAAGCCCAGAGTCTTATTGTAAGAGTAGCTGAATTACAAAGCCAGCTCAATTGCCAACTTCGAGAGGTGTCTGAAGTTAAAGTAAGAGCATTGATTGGGAAGAAATGGTATCCTGAAACTTGGGATGGAGACATGGGGCAGATAATCAGGACGCTGGGGACACTGAGCCCCTAAATTCCATTGAATCACTCCTGCCAGCAGAACC